TGGACCTCTTCTTCCTTCCACTTTTCCTTGCATAATAAGTCGTAAGAAGTATTTTTATCCTCTGTAAATATGTCCTAGATAACTCGTTTTTCTGTTTTTTACAATATTTAGGAGTTCTTTCTCAGTACTTAGTCTTCTTAACACCTCGTTGTTGGTCAAGTACTCTGTTTAAAAGATCTTCTTACTTCTATTCATACTTGTAATTCCGAGAGTCCATGTTTCCACTCCGTATAGCAATATGGAATAAATAAACGTTTTTACAAATTGGTATCGGATATCCAACGATAAGGTAGAGTTTTTCAAGAATTTTTTCATTTGTTGAAATGCGGATCTAGCACGTTCTATATGAGCACGAATTTCGACCTCGTGGCATTCTCCATATCATGTATTCTCCGTATCGACAAATTTAGTACGTGTAAAATTTATTGCACTCATTCCTTAAAAAACCACTCTTTGAATGTGATAGTTCTGGTTTAACAATTATTCTCAATTAGTGTTCCAGTATTTTTTCGTACAATTTGGTTATATTGTAAAAAGAGTAATAAAAAACATTATGCGTATAGAGCACGATTATCTGCGGGGACGGCTCTGCACCATCTTTTACAACCAGCTGAAGTATGTTCTGGAAAACCAAGAGGTAATTCTACTTACATTTCTTAATATATAGTAAACATCCACTCTAGAATCAATAGACGACACAAGCTGCTGATGGATAGACTGGACACAAGTAACTCCGAAGGCTTTTTACAGCCAAAGATTTCAAATTCCTTATATGTATCTTTGGAATCTCGTAATAAAGTGCTGATTCGTCATTCCTATCTTCGATGAAACGTGTTTTTGTGACACTGATATGCTTGTTGGCGATAAAGTATTATTGTATTTATAGCTAATAATAAGATATTATTTGTTATTTAGTAAATTTATTTTGTAATTAAGTAAATTAAATAAAATTATTTAAAGTACGTAAACTTTACTTAATCCTGAACTCACACCAAAACGTAATAATTGGTGGCATAATTGGGATTAAGTAAAAGAAGTTATTGTCGTGAATTTACATGGTAAAAACAAGAAACGAGACTAAGGAGGAGGAAATTCAAAATATGATTGCCGCAATAAAACAACGTCGTCTAGAAAAAAATGGGGCTGATGAGAAACGTCTTCTGGAAGAAAAATAAGCTGAAGAGAGTTGTCGTCAAGAAAAAAGCAAAGCTGAAGAAAAACGACAGGAAGAAAAAGATAAGCGTCAACAAGAAGGCGAAAAGAAACGGCGCCAGGGAGACAGAGAGTTGCTTATGCATCTTATCAAAGATAAAGACCTTTAAATGGAGTAAAGGAGATATGAAAATAAAAATCAAAAAGACCAAAGAAGACAAAATTAAAGGAGTTAAAGTAACAACAGGTATAGTAGAGAAAAGATATGATAAGATAATAAGAACTCTTAAAAATATCTACGTAAAAATTAAAAAGACCAAGCAACTGATAGTTAAAGATAAAGCAGAAGTGCCCCTGTTAATACAATAATTATCCTCCTACATTTGATGACGAGACATCAGAAAACAAGTATTTGATGCTTGCTATGCAATATTTTTCCAATTAGTTAAAAGTAGTTGCACTATTCAACCAAGAAGAAATTACAGTTGGTGAGAGCTTACTTAAGAATGTAGTTTCCTGACATTAGGTTTTACTTATGCTTAATTCTGACTAGGGGCACAACTTCAAATGGGAAATTTGAAAGATCATGATAGTTTTGCTGAGAATACGGAAGACCAGAACGACAGCGCTTTATCCTTAGTCCAACGGCATGATACAAAGATATAACCAGAACACCGTCAATTACCTGTCCCTGTTTGTACATGAAAACTAGAGAAACTGGGCAAAATAGGTGCCTCTGTTCTTGCTAGCCAACCGAAGCTCATAGCATAAAGTAACTGGTTACAATCCAGCAAGGTTATAGACTGATCGAGAAATAAAGCTTTCCATCGATCTGCTAGATGGCAATCTATTAGACGAAGAGCAGGACCAAAAGACAGTCCCCAAGTATGAGTTAAACCCCAAGTTATGAACCCAAGTATGAACCCCAAGTTAAAGGTTCGACTAGTTAAGGTCCACGATTTTGCCAGAAACAAGCTACAAGTCACCAGTGACCGAATGAAAGTTAGTTTCGATCAGATATCCACTCCTGTTAATTTCAAGAAAGGAGATGTCGTTTGTCTCTACTAACCAACCACAAGGAAAGGTCAAAGTACCAGGTTACAGCGGCCGTGGGAGGGACCGTACCTGGTTACTACGAAGAAAACCAAGACTGGCTGTGTCCTTATTCAGAGCAGAATCCAGCGATCTGGTCCACTTCGGTACTGTTCGAGGCGAACAGCCTAGACAAAGGGGAGATGTTAAGAGTCACAATTCTCAAATTGTGGCCCTGGCGTAACAGTAATGTTTGCGTATATATACAGCTCGGCTCCTTTGAATATACAGTAATTAGAAAAGTGTTTTTGTAAGTGATACCGATATGATTGTCGGCTATAAAAATATTAGTGTAAGGTACACCGGGGTAAGAGGAACCTAGAAAATCAGTAATTTCTGTTTAAGGCCATCTAAAAAATTTACTTTTATATCTACTTTATTAGGTTACCGACAGGTAAGACTTACACCATTTTCTAATACAAATACATTGTTAAAACATAAAAAACTTTAAAGAACTTTTTTCTAACAAAAAATTTCAATCATGTGACATGGTTTCCACTTGCCCCACATTTTCTACATGGCAAGGGGCAAGTGGAAACCTATCCCAATTTATATATTGAATTCAATGCAAATCGTTCTGGGGCAAGTAGAAATAATAAAAAAACATTTCTGAATACATTTGTAATAAAAGTTTTAAAAAATATGGTTATTAGCAAACATTATAGTGATTTAGATAAATAGGAAACGAAATTAAAGCTTGTTGCCTTTTTATAAGTTGGGTAAAACTTAATGGTTTTGGCAATACAAATTCAATTTGGAACTTAAATGCGACTGATATGTCTGGTATGTTAGGAAAATAATATTCTTCGTCCTTTTTTATGCATTTTCGAAGGCAACTAACTTCAGTATCAAAACATTGCAAAATTTTAGCGACATAATAAATATAATTTGAGCCTCTTTTAACTGGAAATTTAATTAATACGAAATCATCGGGCATAGATTCACGATATAACTCTTCGTCGATGGGAGAGGTTGGAACCCTTAATATATCGTCGTCAAAATTTGATCTCATCTCAATTAAAGCTTGGTCATCATCACTGCTGTCAGATTGTGTTTCCTTCTTCGTTATCCTTTTCCTTTCCGTTTTATTGGATTTTACGGTCTTTTTGTCTTGTTGTATCTTCATTTTTGCTAAATAGTCAGTGTGTGTTATAATCTCAGCGCCAGAACAGATTTTCTTACGCTTTTGCTGGTTTGATGGGGATTGTTTGACATGTTCGAGTAAAATAGATTCGAAGGAATTTCTTTCAAGAAGCCTTTTTAATGCATGATTCTGATTATCATTTTGAAGATACTGTTTGTCTTCTAACACAATACTTCTGACCAAGTGTTGGCTGCCACTGGTATTTTCGGACATTTGTTCTTATTGGGGGTATCACCAGCGTCATTCCTATTTCTCACTAATGATGCCTCCTTAAAGTTATCATATGGAAATCTTATGAAAGCCTCAGGTTCAAAATTTTCAACAGGAATCACTGTATTACAGAATCGGTAAATACCGGCCTTACTAAAACCACTTCTAATATGGTTTGAACTCAGCTCCCTCCATACTTGTGAAATTATAGATGAAAATATGGATTTCGGTAACTTTGTACCGTAATTTTTTCTTTGCCACTTTATAAGAGCTTCATCGTACATTTGTTTTAAAAGCTTAAACACAGCCAAATCCATTGGCTGTAGGAGATGGCTAGTATGTGGCGGTAGTTTTAAAATAATTATGTCTTCCCTTAAAGCAGTTTCTATAAGGGAAATTGATGTGTGTGAAGAGTGGCATAGATCAGAACAACGGATCTCTCTTTAGGAATATTCGGAAGGAACGTATGTTCAATATAATTAGAAAATGTTTCCATTTCTATCCATCCGTTTATTGTTGTTCCATATGTAATTCCTGGATACTGTTTTGCTAGTCATGTATCCCAAAGATTTTTTCCTTTGAAAATAATAAGGGGTGGGTAGCATTGCCACCCATTAAGACAGATAAGTTTTCTTAACCAGGACCAGCTGTAACTCGATGAGCGGCTTTTTCTTTTTCACCTACTACTTTTACATGACTAGAGTCTAGGCTGAAACTGGTTTCATCTAGATTATAAATCCTCTCGGAGGTGTATTCGAAGTGATTTCTTTCACCAAGTCAAAGTAGTCTGCAACTACAAATGGATCTATACTTTTTTTATGGGCCACTTCAACTAATTGTGACTTCTTTTGAGAAAGTCCATATCAGCGCTTGAAACTTAAAAAATAATCATCTCTCGATATTGAGTCTTTAAATGGAGTTTTTATGTTATTTTCTGACACATATTGTCCAATAGCTAACAATTTTTTTTTGAGAGGCCAAAACCCCATTTTTCCATTATCTTAATATAGTTAGCAATTTTGGTCTCAATATCTAAAGGTAAAGCTGTTAGTCTACCCATAGTTGATGTTGACTGAAAGTTTAGATAATAATTAACCTGAGGTGTCAATTATAAATAGTTATAGAGACTGTAGATTTGAAAATGTTGTTGCGGTAAAAAAAGCATCTAGTGTGTCAAGAAAGCGTTAGAAACGGAGAAAAGCAGCTCAAAAAGATAAAAAATAGATCATACTGTCAAACAATGCTCAAAGCTATCGAAATATCATTAAAAATGCCAACTTTTTTTGACGCTTTCTGTTTATTTAATTTTTATATCGTTTTCCTCTAGATAAAGCAATTGAAAATATCTTGTCATTCGTATTAGCACAAGCTTGCTGGTACATTTTTTTAATTTTCGTTTTAGGGAGACTCTGGCGGGCCACTTCAAGTGCAACAGGACGGAAGGCTGTACATAGTGGGAATAACGTCCTTCGGAATTGGATGCGGGAAGCCAGGTATACCGGGAGTGTATACAAGAGTATCTAACTATTTACCTTGGATAGAACAAACAGTTTGGGGAAGATAAATTATTGATATTATAGATACTAAGTTTATATAATTTATTTAAAAATAAATTGAAATTTTAATATTTTCGTAATTTGTAAAATGTTACTGATTTTTTATTATTTTATTGCTTAATTATTAAAAAATTTTATCAATATTACTAAGCATGTACTATTTACTCTAGTTTGTAAAATCGTTCAAATAATATTTATTTCTAATCCTAAAATAGCTAAAAAAAAATACTGAGAAACAATTTTATTTTCAAAAACTCAACATTTTTTTTTTTTGTTTTTTTTTTAAACACCTGCGCGGTATTTGTATACTGCTATCTGGTTACAAATGATCAATTATCAGTTATTTTCTGACCTGAATATAATAACAGCAAATACTTCAATCTAAGGGCTTACAATATGGCTCACTCTTATTTTATCTATTAACTAATGCACTACAACTAGCATGCAATAACTTTACAGCACTATACTCTGCTTTTTACACTAAACTGTTACACATTTACACTAGCTCAAATGGTTTTGTCCTTACGTGTCTTCTCTTTAGTTCAGTGTTGTCAAGAAACTGGATTGCCTCGACATTCACATGACTATGCAGCCTCTGCTCGTGACTTGCTGCTGTTCTCTTGATTATTTCGATCACAGTTTCCATACCCAGGTCCTAGTGGAGGTTGCTGTTACGGATATACCAAGGAGCATCAACAATGTTTCTCAGTACTTTATTTTGAAATCTCTGGATAATAAGTAGATTACTAGCTTTGGTACAGCCCCAGAGTTGGCACCCATATACCCATACTGGCCTCAGTACTTGCTTGTAGATGGATAATTTATTATGAATTGACAATGTTGAATTTTTTCCAATCAGCCAATACAATTTCTTATATCTTATATCAAGCTCCCCTCTTTTCTTTTTGACATGGACTTTCCAGCGCAGCTTCGCGTCTAGGGTAATGCCCAAGTATTTTGCTGATGTTGTATAAGGAATTCGGGTATCATTTATTCTACCTGGGAAATTTTCTATTTTTTTATTTGTAAAGTTAATGTGTGCAGATTTAGTCTCATTTAATTTTATTCGCCATTTTCTGGTCCAGTTATGTATTTTATTTACTGATAGTTGCAATTTATCAGTCGCTTCTTCACTAGTGTCTCCTATCGCTAGTATGGCTGTATCATCCGCGAAGGTGGCAATAGTATTTTGTTCTAGCTCTGGAATGTCACACGTATACAATAGGTACAGGACCGGACCTAAGACACTTCCTTGTGGCACGCCAGCTTTGATCTTCCTTAAGTCGGTGTACACTTCTTCTTGTTTTACTCTGAAATATCTATTCGCAATGTATGATTACAAGATTTCTGAATACTGTTTAGGCATGAACGTTCTTAGTTTATAGTTTAAACCGTCAAACTCAACATTGAAGTGAAAACTTGTGTTGTAATATCAATATATTTAATTACGTTCAGTGAACCTGAAAAGTAAGTAATGTTGACTAAGTAAGTAATTAGGATTACATACTTTAAAGTATTTGCTATAAATCACATTATCAAGCAGAAGAAGTATTCATATAAACTGCATTGTGTCAATGATTACATACCAAACTTTCCAGGAACAATATAAACTTGAAACAGCACTTACGTGAGTTTTGGTCTTCTGACGTCTAGCAATGGGCACTAGTTTATCTCCATTATAAGCCAATATATTTATGTAAGATTTCGAAACTAATATTATTTCTAAACAAAATTTAAAACCCACGGTATGGTGGAGATATGTAGATGATGTATTTTCAATGGGGCCTCTTAGGTGAGAGTTGTTGGACACATTCCTTAACGGTAAAAACGATAAAGAAGAGACAATAACATTTACCATGGAAAAGAAATATAATAACACACTACCTTTCCTGGATGTTTTAATCTCTAAGAACGATACTGGATATAAGACTCAGGTGTATAGAAAACTAACACACACCAACAGATATTTAAATTTCAAATCACAATATCAACATTATAAAAGGAATCATTCAAGCCTTATACGATAGAGATTTTAATTATGCTAAATAAGACCAACTATGTCGCAAATTTCTCGGTAGAATGCAGTATGATCTGGTTACCTATACTAAAGGAGGAAGAATAAAGAGAAAATACCAGCATTAGTAAGTCAGTAACATATCGACGATATCCTTTGTATTTTTTAAATAACAAACATATAAGATTAGAATTTATTGTTAATTGAGAGTAAATTAAATGTAAGACTAAATACTTACCATGTCGGACAGTATTATAAGTTTTTTTTCTTGATTTTTTCCTCATAATTAACTATGGAACCAATAAGAGGAGAATTTTAGTGTCTTGGCATGTGGTTGTCTTTTTAAAGACAAGTTACATGCTATGTTTTTTTTCTGAAGGATGTTCTCAAGTTAAAGTTCTTACAGGATTGTCGTCTCAGGAACGCAACTAAGAAATATTGGAAATATCATTTTAAAGCAGTCTGCTCTAAAATGTTTAATACATTATGTCTGAATTGTCAATATAAATGAGTAAGATTAAATGAAAATAGAACAGTTTTTCACCAAGTAACAAAACTGTTTAATTTATTAATATTTGTAACGATTACGAATGTGGAAAATAAAATGTCAATAAACTTATTATAATCTTCAATTGTCGCTTATTTCCAATAAAATAGTGTCTACTTTATGCATCCAAAGGTGAACTTGGAGCAGCAGTGGTAACCCCAAATGACCCTTTTCAATTTAAACTTCCTCTATACTCTAGCATCCAAACTGCAGAACTATTTGGTTTGTTTAAAGCCATTAACATCTTTTATTTCTTCCTTCTTGTATGTAGTCTTTAAATCCTGTTTTTTTTTTCAATATTAGCCTTCTAAATTGTTTAAATTGTAGCACATTCTTTTTCTTGGTCTGCCAATACTTCTTCGTACTATTCTATCCTCTGATTTTCTACTGATGTATTCGTTCGACTCCTGTTTTCGTTTTGTCACCCATCCATTTATGTCTTCTATATTGCATGCTCTATGTATTCGCTTCTCTCCCTATCCAACACACTTTTCCCTGATATTTATCGAAGTATTTTCATCTTTGTCGTTTCTAGTAGTCGTCTCGTTTTAGATGTGCAAGTCTTGTCTCCACCGTGTATGATAATATAGGTCTAATTGCTGCTTTATAGATTCTTGTTTTTGTGTCTTGTCTTAGGTGTTTGTTTTTCCAGATTGTGTCATTAAAAGATCCCGTCGCTTTACTTGCTTTTAAGATTTGTTGTCGTACTTCTTCAACGTCTCCGTAAATAGGTATATCTATTCCCAGTTATCTAAACCTTGCTTCCTGCTTTATTATTTTTCCACATTAAACATATAAATATTAAAAACATCCCTTTGGGGCCTGGTCCTTTCCGACTTTCTCAGTGCAGTCAAAGCTATGCAAAATGTATACTCTAAACACCATCAGATGCATCAGAAACAGAGTGTCGGAGTGTCGCTAGCGATCTAAAACAATATTTTAAAAATAAGGTGTAAAGTGTAAAATCAATGTTAAAGGTAAAATCATAACCATCAAAAGTGTCGTTTTTTTTATAGAAGTCGATTGCCAGAAGTAGAAGATCTCAAATTATTATTACACGACTACGACTTGGACACTAAAAGTATACTCACGCCTATCTCTTCTCACATAGTGAACCTCCAAAATGCGAAATATGCAGTACAGTAGACGGTATAAAGCACTTCTTGATAGACTGTCCTAAATATATAAATCAAAGACATTCTTACAATCTCCCAAATATCCTGAAAGTATTACTGGACAAAAATGTTGTTCCGGACAATTTATTAGGTTACTTGAATTGTATAAACGTGTTACACAAAATTTAACATAATTAATTGATATAAATGTTTAATTTAATATTATTACAAATGTTACAGAAATATCGCTAATAACCTTCGGGTGGATGCGACTTTGTCTTTTTAAATAAAAAAAAGTATCTACTTTAAAATGCCATAAGAAAATAATTTTAAAACAATATTAAAGTAAGAATAATTTACAATTAAAAGAAGACTTTGAGAGAAACCATAGAAACTTACCAAACGTAGATTAAAATCTTAAATTTTTGTCTTGTTTTGTATTGAAAATATTTTGTCTATCACATGGGGTAAGATTATGGTGGTTAAGAAAGGGCAAGCAAAATAATCGCTACTTCTCCGGCACTCAGGGTTTGTTAGGAGAGCTGGGGTCGTGGATAAGTAAAAGATAAGGGGAGTGAAATGGGGCAATTACAAAAATATGAAACAAAAGGCTCTTGGAACAAACAAAGCAAAAAGAAACAGGAAACACCTATAGTAATTTATTATATGGCGCCACTTGAGGTGCCTAATTATACCTATTACAACCACTAGTTGTAACTAGGAAAATAATTATAAAACATCAAAAACATATCTTTTTTAAATAAAACTCCAAGAAGGAGTTAGTTAAAAAAATAAACGAAATGTTAAGAAAACAAAATTTAACATTTATTGTGTCTTACCACAAATAGTTACACAACTACATATGACACAAAAAATAAACCATATAAATAGTTGTAAAATACACAAATACAAAGAAAAAACTTACATGTTCATCTGTTTACAAAGAAGATTGCTACAAAATCTTTCAAAATGGCATAGAGGTTAACCTTCTTTAAAGATAAAATAAATTAAAATAAAAAAAATAATAAAACGTGCTGTCATAAATTAACAATAAATTAAAAAAAAACTGAACACACAAATTGACAGCTAAAGTCAAACTCTAAAATTTGATAATTCATTAATTACATATCATAAATCCTTTAAATTTCAATGAAAGCAATTATTGTTATTTAAAATAAAAGCTATTTTACTATGAACACATAACGTTACCTTTTAATTCAGAAACTTTTCCACTGAACTTTGAAAAACTTGCTACTATCTCTAGGATTGGAGCTGCAAGGACGAAACTCTTAACTGGAACAAAATGAAACCATTTCCATACTCAGGAACGAA